GCAGCTGCTGTTCAGGGCTGCCCCTTTCGTTTCAAGGGCACCAGAGCAGTGGCCGTTCCAGGGCAGGTATGCTGTGTGTCTTCACTGGCAGGGGGTGGTCAGCAAGATAAATCGTTATGAAAGGCCCCAAGGTCAGTTATAGGTATGTAAAGAGCACTGTTGTATCGGCTGCTAGATGGGGGTCATCGCTCCCATTGGCATAGCCGACTGCACCTGCAATTTGGTGGCTCCTCCAGTGGAGAGGAAAACGGCCTGAGTTTTCTCTGGTACCAGATGTGCCCATATTTTAAGTGTCTGAGTTGGCCCAAAACGCCAGGGTGAGCGTCCTCGGTCTTGGCACGCGAGCAGCAGGGATTGCCCAGGGCAGGGATGGCAGTGACCCCACGTCTCCCCACCTCGGCTGGGTTCATTTGCTGGTGGCAAGGTATTCCTCCTCCCAGGCTGGGGACAGGGTGAGCTGCCCCACCAGTTCCTCAGTGGTTGCTCCAGGCTCTGCTTGCATTTGGGTTATTCAACGCCTTTTTTAGCCGTGCAGACTGTCATGCACCCCACTGAGAGACCCGCTCCGCTGTGTGGTCTCTGGGGCCAAGCGGTGCTGATGGGTTATTGCTGGTGGGGTTCGGGCTCACACCTGGCTTTGAGCCGTCACGCTCTTGCCAGCTATCTACACCTGGTGTGTAGTGTGTCCGCATGTAGTGCGCCTGTGGCTTTCTTTGTTTATTGGAAACTGGGAGAGGTAACTTCAAAACCAAACTTTTAGATGCTTTGTAAAGCAAAATGCGTAGCCAGAATGGGAACACCTGACTCCAGCCACCACCACTTAATTGCACGGCTTGGGCTGCCCTGCTGCAGCTTCTCGATTTCAGCCTGGGGTGAGACCTGTGGGAAAGCAGCGCTCAAATGCTGCGGAGGAATGCTGCGTGTCCCTCTCGCTGCTGGGAGGGCTGCGCTCCACTCCTGCTGCTGACCGCCTGCCCCATCTTCTCCCTGTCCCCGCAGGAGCCATCCCATGCTGGCACCGAGGCAGCTGGCTACCCCGCCGGAGCAGCCCCTGGGGACAGCCAGGGCAGGCTGGGAGGAGACGTTGCATCCCCCCAGCAGGTGTGGTTCGGGGGGTTGGAGGGGAGCACCCATGGGGGGGTATGTTCACTGCAAGCTCTCTTGCACCCATGGGATGCCCTGCACCCTGTTTCTTCTTGGGGATCTGCTGCGCAAGATGCCCGTGGCTGGGCCAAGCTCTGGGCATTAATCTGGTGGGAGGGTTGGAAGGGGCCCCCCAAAAAGGCAGCCTTGCTATGCAAGGTGTGTGGGGGGATAGTCAGCTGTGCCCACACCTGCCTCAGGCCACATGGCACTGAAAAGCTGCAACCTCCCAACACTCAACTAATGCTGTGTTATTTTCCCCCCTGCCAGGGCAAGGGCTGCCAAGGGCCCCTGAAGGGGGGCAGGAACAGCGCTGCTGGCAAGAGGGGTGACTCTGAAAACGAAGACAGCGACGAGAATGAGGAGGAAGAGGAGGAGGAGGAGGAAGAAGAGGTAGCCGAGAACGAGAATGGCATCAACGGCACAAGCACCAACGCCACGGAGGGGGCAGATGGACCTCACGGCAGTGTGGGGAGGGCCCCGGCGCAGCCGAGGAGGAGGAGGAGGAGGAAGAAGAGGAGGAGGAAGAAGAAGAAGAAGAAGAAGAGGAAGAGGAGGAGGAGGAGGAAACCGAAGCCACCACTGTCGCCAGCACCACTGGCAAAGAGGAGCTGTCCCAGGTGACCACCACGGGAGATAGGGGACCCACAGACGCCACCACAGCCGGGGAGCAGTGGGAGTACGAGGTGACAGCCGGGGGACGCGGCCGGGGGGACGAGGGCACCACTGACGGCAGCTACGGGGAGCAGGACGAGTACGCCCGCGGGGACAGCTACCAGGCCTACGAGGACGAGTTCGGCTACTACAAGGGGCACGGCTATGACGTGTACGGCCAGGATTACTACTACAGCCAGTAAGTGCGTGGGGGGGCGGCCCCAGTGCTGCCCCTCACCTGCCCCATCCCACTCAGGAACGCGCATCTGAAGGCTCACTGCAGCCACCACGCACCAGAGGGAACGACAGGCAGCTTGTGGTGCACACTGGCTCCATCCCAGGCTTTTTTTTTTGTATCTTGCAAAGCGAAATGAAATAAAGCAACCGAACTGAGCTCATTAGTGACGAAGGGTTTGCTGCTGAATTTGCTGGGGTCAGTAGGGCGGCACAGCGCTTGGTGGGCTGAGGGGCTACAGGTGCTCGTGCTGCTCAGGGTTAAATCTCTTTATTCCAGCTCAGATGCACACAAAAGGAGGGAGGTAGGAAAGCCTCTGTAGAGTCCCCTCCGAAAAATGAAAGGGCATATTTAGGGTCACTGCTGTGGGATTACTGCCACGTGTTATGTAGCGTGGACATGAATTTGCAATATGTGGGCGCCTATACCTTTCCCATGCCTTCCAGTCATTGGTAGCCTGCCTCCCATAGCCTGACCACACATCAGGCAATATTAATAAAGGTAAAGACATTAATTTCTCTTTCTGTGCATCACTAGCTGTAGATAGACACCCATGTATTGAGAGCTCTGCTTCTGCATCCCTGCGCCAGACATGTGGGTCCTACTGAGGCCGGGCACCTCGGACATGTGTTTCGGACACCGGCGCTGCAGCCCAAAATGGCCCATGTCTCTCCCCACCACACAGCCTCGTCCCCGGGGCAAGGTAGGGTTGTCACAGTGACAGCGGTGCATCCACTCGCCTCCTGCGTCAGGGAGGGACTCCTGGCTTGCGGTCCCCAGGATCCCCGCCTAGAGTTACCTCCCCACAGGAGCGTGGCCCTGGCCAACTGGGGATCAGCACCAGGGATGGGGAAGGACCAAATCCCGCTAGGTTCCAGGCAGGTGCCCCCATTTAAGAAAAGCGATGGCCTTCATGCATGGGTTACGGCAGGTACCATGCTGCCCTCACACTCCTGGAAAGGAAACCCGTGTTCAGCTCCCGATACAGGTCCAACTGCAAGACAAGTTTCTATTCTTGCAGCAGTGAGCTGCTGGCCACTGTGAAAAAAAAACCAACCCCGCTTCCGTGTGCCAAAGCCAGGCTGCAGCTGCCGGGGTGGCAGGGGGTGCTGCCTGCAGGGTGGGCCCCCCCCGGGCCAAATCCCTATGGCAGCACTGGGGAGCCCTGCACACACTCGTGGCTGGCGGGAGGGACACGAGAGCCCTATCATCCACATCCCCAGGGGGTGGCCAAAGACGTCAGGGAACCAGCATGGACAAAGGGCCCTGGCACTGCTGGGGGCCGGATCCAGCTCCCATGGGGTGCCCAGCCCGGCCCCGTGTGCGTCAGCCCCCCTGGGCACCCGGCCAAAGCTCTGCTTCCCTCAGCCAAGGCGCACCAACCAGCTGCTCCGGTACCTGCGGGGCAGCACCCGACTGCGGCTCCCTGGCCAGGGGGAAAGGGCAAGTTTCCTCCTGGCTCCGAGATTTGCTCCCACCTGAGGCTGGATGCTGATGGTTTGAGCATTTCTGGTGTTGATGCGGTCGTGCTCCCAGGGTTTGGGTCGGGGCAGGGGGGGGAGTGGGATGGGAGCTGTTGTCACCATCACCACAGTGAGCGGCTGCAGCTGCAGCAGGGGGAATCCCCCCTGGCGTATGCGTAGGCGACCAGCAATACCACCAAACCTAGAGCAGGGCAGGAGGAGTGCATATAAGTCGTGCACATCCTCATAGCACCTTTCCAAGGGACCTGTGCAAGCAGTGCATGAAAAAAATCCTTTTTTTTTCTTTTTTACCACCAGGCTTAGCTCAGGGGGGGTTGAGGTTGAAACCCAAAAAGCAAGTGTCGGAGACTACAGCATGGCAGCAGTTCTCAGCTTGGCCAGTGCTGCCCTGCGGTGCCGGTCGTGGCCACGACCGGGACGGGCTCAGTGTATCACCCTTCCCTTTCTGCAGCCCTGCCAGCTTTCCCATGTCGGTCACGGTGAGCACACTACAACCCACTGCATCCCCTTATCAATAACCGGGCTGGATGTGTGCCACACTAAGATCTGCGCTAATCATTGAGCAATTTCGCCTTCAGAACAGATATTTATAAACCATGCTTTCTGTTTATCCAGCCAGGTGGAACATTTGATAGCTGTCTTCTACCACAAACACATTTTTAGCTGGAAATTACTCCCCCTGGTTATCTGCGGACACTGCCAGCCCTGACAAATGTCTCTGGGCAGGAGCTGATTGGCTCCGCGCACCCAGGGCCAACTTTAAATTTCAGCAAAGTGGGCACAGCCTCTACGGTCTACCGCTGGGACCTGCCTCCGACGGTGAAAGGTAATCTTCTTACCTAGTTTGCCTGCCCTGTCTCTCCCCAGCCCTTCGGCTCTGCCCTCCCTGAGCAGGGCATCTCCTGTTTTCACTCTGGGCAAGCCGCAGTGGGGACAGGGAGACGGCCCGAGCCTCAGCTGTGCGCATCTCTGTGTCGTGCTCTCTTCAGCCTACGTTGCTTTGTACTGCTGATCCTTGTGCATGAATTTCCTTCCGATGGTTTCTGTAGCAATGCTTGTGTGGCTGAAAATAGTCTCCAGGCTGGACCTGCGAGCCCAAGCCAGGGTGGATGGATGAAATGAGAATTATTAGCCAACAGAGCTATCGTCTCCCGCCATTTATCAGCGCTGTTGAAAACAGCGTGCGAGTTTCTTAATTCAGACTTACAACTGTATGGCTTAGCCTGCAGCGGTTTTGGTGGTCATTTATTGCAAATATCCACCCAAGCTGCTTTGACAGAGCGAGTTAAGAAGCTTAACACCTGGTGTCAGAGCGGCCACTCGGTGCTGCTGGCCTTGCACGTGTCCTTGCCTCGCCGCTGTATGCACGTGGCGAGAGCATCACCTTTGCTGTGAGGAGTGCAGAGAGGCAGAGCGATGCCGAGGACCACCGCAAAGGCTGGGGAAAGCCGGGGTCACTGGATAACCCTGCTGCCATGGGGGCTTTGGACAGCAGGAGCTTTTGGGTTGCTACTGACCAGGACTGTTGGGGACCGCAAGTCCCGGGAAGACAAACTCCAGTGACGCTTCGCTTTGTGCCCCCAGGAGCTGCCCAAGATGCAAACAGCCCTCGTGTGCCTGTGCCTGTGCCTGCTCAGCACGGCCCTCTCAACACCTGTGAGTATGGCTCTCCCCGGCTTCCCAGCGTGCTGCCAAAAGCGTGGGGTGTACCACCCAGTGCGCCCCAGCACACTTTCAGCAGCAGAAAAACATGAGTTGTACTTGCATATAGCACCTCTGGAGCTTGGGGGG